CTGACCCTGGCGGAGGTAAATTATGATGTGGGGAACCGCAAGCTCCTGGCAATCAAACTGGTGCTAGAAGAATGGAGACACTGGCTGGAGGGGGCACAGCACCCATTCACCATCATCACTGATCACAAGAATCTCAGCCCTGCTAGGCCAGGTGGTCTCTGTTCTTTTTCAGGTTTACGTTTTCCATCACCTACATGCCGGGCTCCAAGAACCTTAAAGCTGACGTGCTCTCCAGGCTTTACGATCCACTAGATCAAGACGCACCTGACCAGATCATCCCTCCGGAGAAGATCGTCGCTACTATCCGACTGTCCATCCTAGATCAGGGCAGAAGGGCTCTTCATGGTACCCAGCTCCCCCGTGTTGTAACAGAAAGAATAAGGTTCTGGATCCCAAGATGAAGTAAAACGGATGAGTTTATTGCATGCAAGGAACAATAAAGCCGAAGTCTTGTTTCCCGCAAGAAACAACAAAATCGAAGTATTGTTCTATGTGCCGGTACAAACTTTTAGGTTATATAGCATTTTCTTTTCCGTTTCTGACATCACTTGGTCTGATGGTAAAGAGGGGGGTAATGGTATTTGGCCAGTTAAGAGATTCTGGCCAAATGGTCAGTTAAAGATTACACCCAGGTGGGTTCCTAGATTGCATCTGGAATCCTTATCAGTTAACCCCCTTTCCTGCCATAAACTCCAGCTTGTGATTTAGAAGTTGAAACCTCATACAGAAAGGATTTAATTTAAACCCCCGTCTTCACATCTTTCTTCACTTGCAATGTCCTCCAGACAGGCTCTTCATTGCCAACCTGGTACACTTTGTGGTGCTCCAGTGATGTTATGACTCACGCTCTGCTGGACACCCCAGCACACCATGAACCTGACCTGAAGGGACCTTTGGTAGCCCAACTTGAGAACTGACTTTGAGGAGTATATGCATGCATGTGTGCACCACCTTCACGAGAACCAAGTCACCTCAGTCCAAGAAATCTGTCCTTCTGCACCCACTCATTACCGACCTGCCCTGGAGCCAAGGTAAGACCACTATTATGGTCCTCACGGACCAGTTTAAGAAAGCTGCCCATTTCATCCCATTTCCTGCCCTGCCCACCGCCCTTGGAATGGCTGACCTCTTCATCCCCCACGTGTTCCGCATCCATGGGATACCGAAGGACGTAGTTTTTTTCGTCTCTAGGTTCTGGAAGGCCTTCTGTAAGGCCGCTGGTACTTCCGTCTCTCTAACTTGCAGCTACCACCCTGAGGCCAATGGTCAGGACCAATTAAACCCTCATGACCTGTAAGGGAGTACATCTCTTGCTTCTGCAAGATTTGGCGAGCCACCCAATGGATCCTGCTGGGGACAATGTTGTGCCAGATCGCCTCAGCTAAACGCTGCAGCCGACCTTCGCAGTGACTCCACAGAGGGAAATTTGTGCAGCTCTCCCGTTAAATCAACCGTCCAGGAAGCTAGATTCACATTTCACAGGCCCTTTTCCTATTCTGGCACAAGTCATTCCTGTATCCTACTGCCTGGCACTTCCTCCTTCACTCAAGATCCACCCTACCTTCCACTTCTCCTTCCTTAAACCCTTCTACAGGTCCCCCCTATTAAAACCCCAGCCCCGTACCCCGCCAGGGAATGAGAGGAAAGAAACAAAAAGCTTTTGTGTCATATCGCCTTTTGTCTGCATGAAATCATTTTGTAGATATATTTTTTTGAAGAAATGCAATTTTGAGCATAAAGAAAGTGTTTGGAACTATTCTTTTTTTTCCCCCTTTTTGATACACATTAATTTAATTTAATTTGGCCGTGACCTTTATCGTTTCAATTGCCTTGGATTGTTGGTAGAAAGTTACTTGCTTCTGTCTTGGACTGCAGTTAATTTTTCACAATTAGTCTTTACATATGACCTTCACTTCCTTTCACTTCACTTACTGTAGCTACTGTATGCTTTTGTCTTGGTATGTGGCAGTAAAATTGTATTGTATTGGCACAAAGCAGTCAGGGTTCATCTTGATTAGGATACCTTATACATTCATAAGAAAACACATAATATCATAGTGGTGATGCTGCTGCTTGTGAAGCAGACAAGTGGCATCACATATGGTTAAAATTTCTGGAAACCACTATCTGCGCTTTAAAATGAATTGGTTAAGAGAAAACATTAATTTTTCAACTAAGCTTAAATCAATGTGCAGCAGATAAAAATGTGTTATTCATCATCAGAAATGTTTTTTTCCTTAATTAAAATTTGTCAGCTATGCACTCTGCAGTTTCACTGTGGCAAAAGATTGCTGTACCGCTACACATTAGAGAATTATAACTCCTTTCATAACCTGTTATTCTCTTAATTTTTTTAACTGTGAGGCAGCTGTTTGAATACTGCAATGTGTTATATCCATTGTCATGAAAAAAAAACACATTTGCATAGTACCTTAGGTTCTT